GACCAAAGTTAATGCATTCTTTTCTTGGCACCTGGAGCGATGGACTAGTATTTTATTGAAAATAATCAATGACTAACCTTGCCAAGAAAAGCTTAAACGAATGCATAATTTGTGATTTTGAGATCTCTTGACCTTCTGGAGTTTTAGCTACTTATTGTTCCCTGACTTTGAATTAGACATACGATTGCTCTAAAATTTTCCCTTGGTTCCTGCAATAGTTCTGTTTGTTTGTTTTTTTTTTCCATGAAAATATATACTACATACTATGATGTACTATTCATACCAGGTCATAACCAGATTCTTTTTTTGTGCTTGATCAAGACTTTCAAAATCAGTTCACTTAAGAATGTCCAAATTTGCCCACATCAGTGAGCCTGCAAGCTTTGTTTTGATTATTCCCATTTGTGGGAAAATTTGCTTACATATGGGAATGTCAGGAGCATAATTGGGAGACTCTCAGAACTTACTATCTCTCGTGTAACTCAGACATACCTGAAATTCCATTTTCCTGGGTTTCTGTTCATCTAAAAGATGTTGCCCTAAAAGCTTCAGGAAATATTTTGAAGCAGAACCAGATACCTCAATAAAACTGGCCTGTTTAATTAAGAAAAAAAGAAAGTATTTCTGCATGACCTTGAAAGTGGCAGTATTCCTGTCTGATGGAATGTTGACAAGTAATTTCAGAAACCATTAAAAGAAAATTTCCACCTATTTGCATTTTCAAGACCCGGATTCTTGACCAATCGAAATAGAGGAACAAACTTGATATGCCTGACACATCAGTGTCATCCCACATCAATGGAATGACAAGTTCTTCCCAATATTTTTGGGAAGTTCATTTTAAACCACCAAATCCCTAAGGGAAAATAATTATAGTGTGCTTTCTATTTAAATCATGAATGGGTCAGATTATTGTGGTAGGCATTTACTGAGATAAATTCTCAAGTAAGTATATATTTTTTCCTGCAGTATCTAATGTGAGTTAAATCCAAACTTAACTCTTTGACTCCCATCAAGAGCTGCCAGCTAAACTTAAAGACCCAACATTATCATTTCAAAAGGCAAGGGTAGTGTCTGAATACAAATAGTGTCAGTCCCTTCTCAATTATAAAGAGAGTCTTCTTAAGTTCATTTCCCTCCTTTATTTCTTGTGGATCACATTATAATACCCCCACACTGTTCTACTTAACAATTCCAGGCCAACTTCTGAGGAGGCTGCATTGAGTTGGTTACCTGCAAAATTTTTTATAAATTCTCTGGAGTCTTTTAGCTCTCAAGGCCTAGGGGCTAATCCACCAGCTGCTCGTGCAAGAAACATGGGCAGTCATCTCCCATGTTTACAGATTTGGGAAGGTCAGCTATGAGTTGGTTCTGAACCCAAAGCACATAACAACAAAGTCTGGATAGGTCAGACTCATACATTGCCTAAAACTATCTAAGCTTGAGACTTCATGTGGATGTTAGTGATGGCCTAGCCAGCAGTTGCCATGCCCCCATTTCTACATGCTTCTTTATTAAAGCTTTCTTTTTTTTTTAATGCTTCTTAGAGCAAGGATGGTGAACCTAGGTCTCACATACTTTAGCCGTGTTGTCAGGAGGGGTCCTAGGAAAAGGACACCATGCTGGGAAAGGCTGAGGGTCAGAGAAAGGAAGGAAGATCCTCAACCCGATGGCTTGACGCAGTGACTCTAACAATGGGCTCAAGCAGATCATAGAGGGCAAGGGTGGGGCCGGATAGGGCAGAGCTGAAAACTATTGTTCATAGGGTTGCTATGAGTATTAGTCAATTTGATGGCACTTAACAGCAACAACATCTGTACCTTTATGTGATAATTCTCCTAATAAATCTGGTACTAGGACTGAATGTAGCTAAACATAAATTTATATGTCTGGAAACAGTAGATATAGAGATAGAACCTTTCCTTGAGGTCATCCATTCCTTTTCAAGGAAGAATCAGTAGCACATGCATGTATTATCAAACCGATAACCAGGCCAGCTGTAGTCTTTATTTTGATGATAGGACCTAGCTTCAACATCGGAGGGAGGCCAACAGTGAGTGGTATGATTTAGCTTTTCAGGGGTATCCCTCCCCCCGCTCCCCACCCCCGGGCTTTCTGTGCTTTTGAATACTCCATGAGTCCATTAGCCACACTTATGGAACTCTGAGGGCCTAATGGCAAGAAGCTGTGTTGCAGTCCTGAAGGCACATGGTTCAAGGCCATCAGCTGCTCTGCGGGAGGATGGGCAGTCTCCTCCCACGAGATTAACGGCCTCTGAAAAACGCTGTGTGGGTCGGTTCCAATTCTCTGGTACACAGCAACAACTCATGGGAACATCCACCTACCTAATTTTATCAAACACTGAATACTGGCCTAGGATTATCTTCTCTTCCAGGAGCTAAAACAAGGAGCAGGTTCCCATACTGATGCCAGCACATGTTGCTTTCTCTAGAAACCTCACAAAGCAGCATTTAAGGAGCATGTTTTATCCTGTTAATAAAATAGCTTACTTCTCAGATCTATAATAAGCCCCATCTCTAGATACATTCTACAAAATAATCACAATAAAAACACAAATGGCTAACACTTTCACCATATTTTGTTATAGTAGACCTTTCATTGTCCTTAGGCTAATCATCTGTCCACATTTGTGAGGCAAGCCTAGAATTAGAACTAAGAACTCACAATGGGTAGTCCTGTACTCATTTATTAAAAGTAACGATGATAATCTTTAGGCTAAAGACAACTGAATTAAACCACCATGACTAACATTTACTAGGCAGTTGGTATGTTCATGCTCTTTTTGAACTTTTTACTAGAAGCTAGCATAGGAATTTTAACTCTAGTCACAAAGAAATAATCAAAAGTATCTATTCATTTGCTTTGTCTTTCCAGCTGCCCATTTCTCAGTTCATCAAATTCAGCTTTAAAGATTTAGTACCATTTGTTGGGTAGTTTAAGAAATGTCCTGAAAAGGTTTTTAAGTTCTGTATAATAATGATAATGCAGTATAAAATGCAAAGAGAAGTTACTACGATGACTTTTTTTCCCCTTTAGCAATTAAAAGGCTATTTCCATCACACTAGTGAAATTACATTTATTTACTCTTTTGTAGTATTACTTAAAAGCTTCTTTAATAACATGGTTTCAGTTCACATGTTTTAAATGCTTTTCTAATGCAAGAATACCTAGAGTTGGTGCTTATTACCATAAATAGATTTATGTGAATATTTATTTTAAAATAAACTCTCCTATAGTTTAAAAGTTGAGAATAGAGAATGTAAGTATTCATTACCTAAATTTAAAATAAAATCATCAGATGAATAAACTTTAAAAGGCCTATTAATGTAAAATTCTCTTTAAAAAGATTAATTATGCTAAAAAATCTCAATAATGGATTATAATCAAATCTAGGATAAGTGCTAAATAAACACAAATAATATTATCTGAGAAATATTAAATCAATACTTGATAGTATGTTGAATATATTTTTTCAATGTTCTTTTGTCATGATTGAGTTTATTTCTTGAATAGAGAACTTTCAGATTAAAGAACATGAAAGAAAATTATTCCCTTTCTATCCTCATGCTTAAATAATATGTTACATGCAAAATCATTATTTTTCTAAAAAAAATATTTGGTTATAAATTAAGAAATTTATTTTTATTTATACTAATTTCTGAATTTTTTCCCTACTACATCATTGCAAAGACTGTTAACTTTCTAACAGTAGTACTAGTCTTAATTTTTCTAACCATGCATGATTCATTTGACCCCACAGTAGCTGTAACTTGCTTGCCTTGTTTTTTCCCTGAAACTGAAAAGAAATAAAAAGGCATAAAAACACAATGAACAATTGCTGTATATAGTATGACAGCAGAATAACTGAAATCCTAATACACTGTTAACATTTTGATTCACACGTGGATTTTTGAGATGTGTGCTCGATGACTTCTCTGAACTTTCTCTGTTGGATGTGTGCTGTTGTTAAAACTACTTGTTTTTTCCCTGCCTGCTCTTTGAAGAAATCAATTAGGAATAATGGGAAACAAGGGGTAGGCAAAACATTGCAGTGAAGTGTTCTTTCCATCCACCTGGGAATATTTCAGCCAAAAGTTTATTTTGAGAAAAAGAAAACCTAAACAAAACACAAACCAGTCATAGCACCCCCCACACACACATACACAAATACTTTGGCTGCAAATTATTCTGCAGTGTTGTTGGTGTATTGTTGCTTGTTGTGTCTGTTCTTGTGTGTAATGCTCCCCCACTCCCCTACCCCCAACTCATGCATGTGTTTGCAGATTTCCATCTGTGTGCTTGTTCATGAATTAGCTCATCCTCCTCCTCCTCCTCCAGGTTAAATTGAATCAAGACACCAAGAATTTATGGGTATAACTGTTAGCTGAAAAGTCCTCCTTCACTTCCAACTTTTCCCTTCAAACTTCCTCTTCGGCAGTGTCCCGGTGGAATATGGTATCCAGTGAGCTCCTCTACATTGCCTGGCTCGATGTATGCCCATGATGGTTCTTGAAACATAATCCACTATCATCTTGTCTCAGTGTCTCTGCATTGGAAATGGAAGCACTTGGTAGATGACTCATTTCTCTAACTGAGGAGTGAATCATCTTAGCTCTGCTTGCAAATGACCAGATATAAAGACGTCACAGTCTCTACTTCCTACCCTTCTTTTTTTTTTTTTTAGGGAGGGGGAAAAATGTTAAAAATGACCAACATCTAATGGAGCTACATCTAAACTATAAAAGAAATTTCTATGTAAAACTACTGTACAATGTAAATTCAGTGTTATCCTAAGGAAGTGGAAATGTGATCCCCCTTCCCCATTTTATAACCTTTTAACTGACAGTATACCCATACAAATTCTTGATTATTATTTTTTTTCCCTCCCAAATGAATTGATGGGCCATTGGTGACTGCACTACCTGTTGCTCTTACCGATTGTTGTCTTAACTGTGTTCTTTAACAATGTAATGTTGAAGGCTCATAATATTGAAGATGACTCCAGGATGAACCCCGAGTTTGCAGACAGGATGAAGCAGCTTGACAAGGAAGCATCCTACTACCGTGACGAGTGCGGCAAAGCCCAGGCAGAAGTCGACCGGCTGCTGGAGATCCTCAAGGAAGTGGAGAATGAGAAGAACGACAAGGACAGGAAGATCGCAGAGCTCGAAAGGTAACGCTGGTGTTGCGGCCGGACTTGTCAGGAGTGAGTGAGGACTGTGTGCTTGTCATCTGAGCTCACAGTCAATTTGGAAATCGGGTTTCCCTTTCAAGTTCACGTCTCATTCCCCTGTCTCTCTGTGGAGTGTACAGGAGGCTTCCCTCTGAGGACTTACTTACCTCTCACATGTGTAAGAAAATGATGGTGAACTTCCCTGAGTGAGGCCTGTGGTCCAGCATTGGTATCAGCAAAACAAACATGAAGTTGAGCTCTGATCAATTCAAGCTTCTGTTCTGTCACATCAGAGACAAACTTGGTGTTTTCTTGAGAGAGAACACTTGTTGGAAATGCTCCATTTAGAATAAAGAAAGCACCTAGTGTCGTGTGGCCATATTTTGGCATGCTACAATCAATTCATGTTTGGAATTCATCTTTCGAGAGTTCCTTTATAGCATGTGGTAAATAAACATGCTTGAATAGGGTTTTAGGCCTACCTGGAATAGGACATTTTGCCTAAAACCAAAGTGGGCTTATGTCAGGGTGGCAAAGTATTTAGGTTTCCAAATCAAGTCCATATTGTGTTTATGTATAATGTGAACTCTAAAAATAAGCTTTCTATCCATGCCTTTTCCTATATTTAAGATGAGAAAAGACGTGTTCGAAGAATCTTCCATAACTTCCTAATCTCTGAGGATTTCTCACCGGTTCAGTAATAAGGCAGAATTTTGTCTTTCTTAGAGTCTGTCCATGTGGAAGATATCAGCATATTTTAAAATAAATCAGTGAATACTTGACACCTCTGTTCAAGATACTTTTGAGACCCTAATAAACGCTGTCTATGATTTTAGGACAAGACTGGTATTTAGTGACAGAGAGACCTGGGTTCAAATTTTGCCCCTGCTTTGTGGGAGTTGTGTGACCTCTAATGTTTTTGGAAGTAAACCTGTAACAACCTATCAAGATATGTCATACTTTGCAGACACTAAGTCCCAATGTAAAGTGAGGTAGTTCTATTATTACAAATAGTTGAATGCTAAAACAAACACATTGTCAATATTAATTAGTGTTGTACTAACCTGACAAGTTCTTTCCCCATAGAATGTCAACATCATTTTCAAATACTGTGTTTAATATGTTCAGTCCTCAAATTAATTAATATTACTTTTAAAAGTCTTGCCATGCCTTTCATGATAATCTGACTTTTATCCAGTGTGAACAATTTTAGAATTAAGTCAAAGAAGTTTGTATATATATATGTGTGTGTGTGTGTGTGTGTGTATCCCCCCTTAGAGAGTTAAAGATTTTAAAGGTCTCATGTTAAATTTGAAATTGAGGACTGTATAGTCAGTCTGCTGTAAAAAAAGGAGTAACACTGCTAATTTTAAACGTGTCTGTGTAATGATTTTTAAACTATATTTCAAGTAAAATTCCAGAAATCCTGGGCTAAGGACACAAGGCAGACGTGTTTAAATTGTGGAAAATGAGACCGTGAATGGTTGAAGGGCCTTCCTGGCACTGGCCCCAGGGTCAAAAAAAAGAGGCAAAATCACAATACAGTTTCCCTGACTCCTACTTCATTACTCTAAGAGGGGAGGAGCCATGTTGAGGCCGACCTGGATAATAATAGCAATTGGTTTCATAATAATGAACCAGACCAGTTATTGTCAGGTTGATTCTGACTTAAGGCTACTTCACATGTGTTGGAGTAGAATTGGGCTCCGTAAAGTTTTCCATGACTGATTTTTCACAAGTAGATTGCCAGGTCTTTTCTTCTGAGTTGCCTCTGGGTAAATTTGAACCATCGACCTTTGTCTTGCAGCTAAGTACTTAACTGTACCACCTAAGGTCTCCAATTTCATAATAACAGCTCTCAAAGTCAGAACTCATTGTCCTTGATTCTTAGTCTGAATTATGTTTCTGCAGCTGTAAATGTTTAAGGGAGGGGATTGCCCATCTTTCTCCTGTGGAGCAGCAGGTGGATTAGAACTGAAGATCTTTTGGTTAGCAGATGGGCTTGTTACACATTACATAAGGTATTCTCTACTCACAGTGTGAAAAGTACATTTATATACCTTTTCATCTTATCCAGAACTCCACTGTACGGAAGAACATCCTCGTTTTATCAGTGACAAAACAGATAGCATAGACCAAGTAACTTTCTCAAGATTGCAGAGCTATGAGTCAAAGATAGGATTTGAAATCAGGTCTGACCGCTGTGTCTGCCTGTGCCTTGCCCATCAGTTGTGGCCCTGAAGACAATCTGTTTCATCAGTGGACTGCAATGAAGAAAGTAGCTTATTAGCAGTCAGTAGTTACAAGGCCAGCAGGGAATCCTTGCTGAGCCACAAGAGACCTGCTTCGTCTTCGTTAACTCTCAGGAGGGAAAGTGAAATGCCCCCCACCCCCATACAACCACTGAAAATTGGAAAAAGAGTGTTTATTATAAATATTTCCGTATAAACAACATAGTAGTCCAGGGAAACCAGTGGGTCTTCCCGGAACACTATTGCCATTAATCATCATGAAGATTCACAATTTTATTTCTGCAATATGGAATACATTAAAACAGTAATTTTACAAGCATTTATCTTTATGTACTTTCTGCACATTTTCTTTATCTCTGCCTCTGCCTCTCCTTAAATAAAGCTGATGCCTCCCAGGCACTGTAATTCATAAAACGTGTGTTGGATTTTAACTTGGTCCAGTTCTCTGCCTCCCTGGCTCTTGGGCCCAGCAGGCCTGCACAGGCTGGATAAAGCCTGAGGCTCAGGCCCAGAGGCAGTAGGGTGTGGGGGTGCAAAAGGGGGCACTTTTTGAGCAAAAGAGGACTCACCCTAAGCCCGTGTTTTTGAGGCATTACTATCTGGGCTACATGTGGATTCTAACCCTAACATCTCCCTTGAATTGTCAGGCAGCCCTTCCCCAAATTGAGCAGTATCACCATTTTTTGGCTTAAACTGAAAAATTCATACCTCATAATGTTGGGAACTAAAGATTTCTCAGCAGTGTGACATATATCTCCATTTTGGAGTCACAGAGGAGTGTTTGCAATTAAGTTGGTGATTTTGAAAACCAAAAGATTGAACTTGAAATAAATTTGTGGTCTCTGGTCTGTAATGTGACCTACCAGATTGAAAGGCTCCCTTTTTCAACCAAGTAGTTTTCGAAAATATCCCAGACTTCGAGTCATCTGAAAGAAAAAGGTACGAAGTTGGGAATAACTCAGACAACGTTGACAGTGGTCTACTTTTCTCTAGGAGGACTTTTGTGGGGGGGAGTGGAGTGGAGGGGATGTGGGGTCAGGAACTTTTTATTCTATGACTTCTCCTAATTTTTTTTTCCTGTAATGTGCATTATAAATAGTACTCGACTGACACGCAGATGCATTTGCCATTTAAATTCCATGTGAATGATGTTTTTCAACAGCCATTAGAGATTTTGCTCTCCATAGTGTGTATTACCTCTGTGGTCCACACAGCAAGCTCTGCCGATAAAGCTTTCCACTTGATGTTAACACAGCTGGGCACTTCTGTCTTGAACCCAAGACTTCTACAGGGGAAAGTAGCCACAAGGTAGCCCTTAAGGAAACCCCTTAAAGTTGGTTCAACTCAAACTGAAGTCTTTATTTGTCACCGGTGTCAGATACTATATATTTAACTCAAATATTCGGTTTCATTGTGATCAAGTCAGAACCAGTGCATAGCTGACCCTCTGACCCTTCACAGCGGTTTCAGATGCTCTAAATTGTGTGGGAGGAAATTGCCCATCTTTCTCCTGAGGTACAGCTGGTGGATTCGAACCACCTGCTTTGGGCTTGGCAGCACATCTCCTTACCTTCTAGCTGGGCTACCAGAGCTCAACACATTTAATATCCAAGTGCACATGAGAGCAGTCAACATTGTCAGTCCCTGGAGACAATAGTGTTTCAAGCTTAATAAAAAAGATATTGGATCCTAGAGATCTTCCTACCATCCATATTAATTAAACATTCGAGGCAGTGAACGAGGCTGTGCTTTTTTGCTTCTGCCCACCTCAGCCTTTGAGTTTTATTCATTGTTTCAGAATTCCTCCTTGAACAATGTCCACTGGCACCGATTTCTCTCTTCGTATGCCTGGCACTGAATCAAGCCAGCTGATCATTGTGTAATTATCTTAAGCATGTGAGGGGTTTAGTTGGCATGTGTGTAAAGGGAGGTAAAAAAAAAACCACAAAAAAAAACAACCTAACACATGTCCAAGCAGAATTCTTAATCACATCCCTCTTTACTGTGGAGTGGAATGTGGGTCACTGGAGGGTCTATCCTTAACATCAGGATGGAAATATGGTACCCATGAATCACTTGCACTAGAGATTAATGCCACTAAACAATTGGAAGTCCTTCTAGATGCTGAAAAGTGTGTTATCGAAAGCTAAGAAACAGATTAATGTTTTCCATTTCTGAACTTCTTCAGTAACATGCTGACATAATTTCAATCATGCCTTTCAGAACGTTTCCCAAAGTGTAAATAACACATTTCCCCCCTCTTAAAAATGTCTGCTTGTGTACTTTAGAAGTTTCATGGCACATGGAAGAAACGTGATAGCAGCTCTATTTGTTTTCATGTAACCTCTTCTTGTTAAGTCATTTCCACTTGTGCTTGTTAATGTGTTTTAATGCATTTCTTTAAACAAGTGACAGATGGTTTCACACTGTCCCTGGCAACTTTCTGTGGAAGGTTATGGACATTGGGGACCTCTCTGGGAATTTGATGAAAACTAGAGACTCTGGGGGGGGAAAAGCAAGTGAACATTAAATGTTTGCTTGTTATTTCAGTTTGGGGTTTCCGAAAATTCAGCAGTGGACCTCTGCTTAATTGTCTTTGATCAGAGATTTGAAACGGCAGCTGGGGCTGTATTGCTATGGAGTCCCCATAATGTCCACGGTCTGACCCAACTCCTTTTGATCAATTATACATCCATCATCGAAAAGCACTGTGTATGGAGATTTCAGATAATGAGTGATTATCAAGTCAACTGTCTCACTTTGTGTTTAACTTTGGATTTTCTCCTTGATTTTTATCGTGATAGTCAACATTGCTTTAATTTAAAATGTCCTGATTTAAGCTTGGTTCTGGCAGTTTGCTGTGTTTTTCCTTCCTGCCTGAGATGTTTGAAGCTACTTGATAATAGCATGGGGTGTTGAGGCCCCACTTAGCAGATAGATAGTAGAGATATTTGTTTACCCACTTGGGGTCCCCCCCAAAAAAAAGACATTTCACAGTTTAGCACAATATCTGAGTCTGCCCCGTTCACTCCAAGGGATCCTCAATGCTCAAGCCTTGCTCTAATTTATTCATTCGTTTACATCCTGATTTCATTTCTTTATTTTTGCTTGGTGTTAGTCTTTCCTGTGTTGACTGGCCTGGGAGCACATGTTAGGGGTGTGTGTGTGTGTGTGTGTGTGTGTGTGTGTGTGTGTTCCCACGTGTATGTGCAAAGAAGTTATCAAGCATCTGAGTGTTTTAAGTGTTGAAGTAGGAACCTCATTTTCACAACTGAAAAAAATTGCCCTCAGCTTTGGAAGGGACTCTGTCCTCGCCTGGGAAGCTGATGGACAGATGGCACCTCACCCAAATTCCCCCTCCCCATGCCTTTGATCATCAGTAAGTACGGAGCTCTGTGAGCATCTAAAATGAAACCTTTGAACCAGAAGCCAAATTGCTCAGCTCCTTTTGGTTTTCAGGGATGAAGGGAAAGGATCTCATAAGATATTACCCTCCAACTTCCTGGCTCAAACAAAATCTATCTGATATTAGTGCTTACTGCCAGATCTAATACCTTCATAATTCCCGGCGTCATTTATTAAAGAATAAAATATATGTTCAGAACGCGCTCTCTCTAAAAGTTCCTCCAGACAAGCTCAGATTCTATCAAGGAACTGCTGGAGCACATCTCCGGTTCCTATATAGCAGTACTTGTTGGGATGATGTTGGCAAAAGCAGATACCGTGTCTTCTGTATAATATTTAATACCACAGCTAACAGTGTGCACTCAGGGCTTTGCAGAGGCGGGGTGGCTATTAGATGAAAGATTGCTTATTGTCCTTTGTTTGGTTATAAAACCTGCTAATAGAACATATGCTGGCTGTATGTTTAACACTAATGCGTTTCCTTCCTTTATTCTCTTTTGCTATCCCTTTTCCTTTCTGCTTACCCTTCAAACTGCTGCTTTCACCCTTGCTCCAATCAGCTTGACTTTCAGGTCAGTAATTTCAGTTTTTCTTCTAACCGCCTCCCCTCCCAAGCTCAATTTACTGCTTGCACTTGTTTAACAAACACTTTTCTGAAACAATTTACCCCTGGCCACCACATCCCACTCCCCTAACCCTTCCATCTCATCCCATGCCTAGGGATGGTTTATTTTATGAGTTGGCTGTATAGGGGGTGGGGGAAACACCAAAGAACAAGATGGTAATCAATCACTCTTGGGTCAATTTGATAAATTTTATTCCTGGATTATAAAATCAGTAAGGGGGAAAAAAGAGCAAAAATCATAATCACTCCTTATTGCATTTCAACTAAGAAGTACAGAAAATTGATTGTGAGACAATAAAGGATGGGGTTGTGGAAAACCCAAAATGTGGGATGCTAAATTTAACCAAGGAAGACAAAAGGTCTGCCCTGTTACCCAGCAACTTGAAAGTTAAATTTAGGTGCACAAACCTTTCAGACTTTTTGCTTAATTCACTATGTTTTGAAATATTTATAATACTTATGGTAAAATCACTTCTGAAAATTATCAGTATATTAGTAACATATTGTACACACGTTAGTTATGTTCACTGTTTTGGTTTTAACTTTTTAACTTCATTTTTATTACCTATAAGATGTTCTTTAATTATGTAGCGTGTTAGATATGGAACCAAATATAAAATTGCATTCAGCATTGACCATATACACCTTGATATTAAGAAATGAAATGGACATTTTGTTTACAAATGCATCCTAACCTTGGATCCCCTAAGTTAGAAGTCCCAAATTTACTCTTCCTGGCATCTTTGTTATAATCTGTACTAATGTCTAAAGAATGAAGTCTTTATCATCAAATCAATGAGTTTATAAAAGATGCCCCCTAGCAGTCAATAAAAAAAGCCTTGAATTACATTGGTAGTCACTATAGTAGCTTACATGAGAGAAAAGCTATGCTGTTTTCTTTATGGAGCTTTGAAGAATTATTTCCTTTTATTCTGCCTGTTGCCTCTCACTCAAGTCAATGCAGCAATATTTAGGCCAGAATCAAATAGTTTTAAATCGGGACCTCGTACTCACTTCCCATGTCCCATGGCTCACTGTTGTTAGTTCCCGTTGAGTCAGTTGTGAATCGTGACAATGGCACGTGTGCAGGGGAGTGGGGCCTCATTAGATTTTCAAGGGTGTGACCCTTTGGAAACTTCTTCCCTGTCTTCCAATCTCATCTTCCATGATGCCTCTGGATGGCTTCAGGCTGTTGCTAGTTTGCCCAGTAGTCAAGCACTTAACTCTTTGTACCACCCAGAGACTTTGCTGTGGTTCACAGTCTTTTAAAATGAGACCATTTCTCTGCTATTCCCAGATGGTACGGAAAATGGTCCACAGATCTGGCCTTGAACTTAACTGCATCTGGGAAGTGCCAGGTCTCAGTAGTCTCTCAAAGACATGTCTAGTCAGAGAATGAAAGTATGGCCCTGGAGAACTGCTTTCAGCAAAACCAAAGGAGTGTTAATTCACCTTCCGGGGCAGAGCCAACCTGATGTGCCCCTGGGCAGGAACCAGACATCCCAATGGGGAGGCAGAGGCACCCGAGACACATGGAATCCAAACTTTTCCTCCAAGGTTTGGATCTGCTCAATTTGGTGATGCTTCAGGCTTTTCTCCTCGCCTGTCTTTTCATTTTCTTTCTCCTTTTTGCCTTTGCTTCTGCACCCCACCCCATCTCTACCTCTTCATATTGAAGCCTTGAAGCCCTGAGACCAGGTTTCTCTTTCCCTCACACACCTTGGGCTTCCTGCCTGAAGGTCCCTTGACAGTACACAGAGATTCCTTCTTTGTCTTCTAGATGTCAAGGGCCAAATTGGGAAGTAATTGTTTTGTGCCTTTTTTCATGGTAAATAAATGTGAACTCTGCATCTCTGGAGCCAGGGTGTAAGATTTAGGTTGGGAGTAGCTAGGAGTTCTCTAGACAAGGGAGAGCATGCTGACTGGTTCTGGTAAAATGCCTGTCTCCGATCTTGTTAGGGAGCGTGATAGGGCTCCAATCAAGATTGGGATCATTCCACCATCACTGAATCTATTACCTCAAGTGACTACAGTGGAGAAAACGTGTAGTCACTGTGGATAGCCTCTGGTTGTATTTTTAGTGTGGGAGGAATTGGGCCGCTCTGCTTTCCTGGAAAAGAAAGAAAGAAAAACCTGGAAGCTTTTGTGAGCTCTGACAAGTTTCCAGAATTAACTGTGCTTCTTTTCCAACCACTTCCAGGTTTCCCAGTTAAAATAAAATGAAATATAACAATTGAGTGCAGAAACTCTGGCCCATGTACTTTTTCATATGGATCACATTTGAGATGTGTGTGTATGTGTGCATATATCATATGTGTGTGTGTGTTTATGCATATATATGTATTTGTTTGCATGTGTGCAAATGGGTTTTAAAGAAGAATTTCTGGTTTGTCTTATGGCGGAAGTGTATGATCTGCAAGCAGCTCACTGACTGCTAATCTGAAGTTTGAAGACTTTAGTGGTAATAAGTCTTTTTTAAACACATTCTAGACTCCAGGGGGTAGCTTTTGTGGCCTACTAGTGAGAAAATGTGCTGCCAGCCCAAACGTGTGTGGTTCAAATCTACCAAATGCCCTGTGGGACAAAGATGGACGGTCTCCTCACGTCTGATTTACTGTCTGAAAACTGGAGGGTCAGCTATGGGTCAGTTCTGACTTGATACACAACAACAACCACAGACCCCATGACAAGCTCTCCCCTTCAAGTACTTTTTTAGCTGACCTTGTTTCCTTTTCAGATTCTGTGTAGCCTCTAGTGCTTAAAGTCAAGTGGACAGATAGTAAATGTTGGATCGGTAGCATGCATATGCTATATTCTTAATCTCTTTAATTTCCTGACTCCATTTCTTTCTAGAGCCTCGTCCCACACAAACCAGGGGGTTACTGGAGAAGATTAACAGGATCCTTGCATTATTGTGCTTGGATTGGGCTGGTTCTAAAAGGTTTCTCTTAATTACAAATCATTTGTCAGATCAGTTGTACCTTACATAAAAGATATGCTATTGTATAGTATCAAGTAGAAACTGACCATCCAAGTTGACCATCCAAGCAGTTTTTAGAGGCTGTAAATCACATTTGAGGAGACTGCCTATCTTTCTCCCATGGGGCAGCTGGAGGATTCAAACTGAGTGTCTTTGGGTTTGCAGTGCAACTCCTTACCCACTAGGCCACCAGAACTTCCTAATAAATGAGATTACCCCCCCATAATGATATGCAGCAATTACTTACCTCTCTTGAGTTAGAACCAATTCACATAGCTGACCCTCAGTTGGGTTTCTGAGGCTGTAAATCACACAGGAGGAAACTTCCTGGAAAACCTTTCTCTTAGGGAACTGCTGGTGGAGGCGAGGAGTAGCCTTTGAGATTGCAGCACAATCTACTCCACCCTACCCCTTGAGAAAGGGAGCCTTCGGGGTATTGTAGTTAAAATGGTTAGGCACTCCACTGCTATCCAAAAGGTGTGCAGTGACAAAATACACGGCTGCTTTGTGAGAAGACAGACCTGTTGCTGTCTTCCCATAGAGATCATCACCCACGAACCTTGATGGGGCAGCTCTGCTGTCACGTGGTCTTGCTATGAGCTGGAAGTGGCCTCAATGGCATCCAACAACCAAAAGAAAAAAAAAATAGTATCAGTTTTAAACTCAGTTTAAAATCCTACCTCCAAGTCCACCAAGTTCATACAAAAGAACTAGATCTCTTTGACTCCCCCAGCCTCTGACTTGCTCTGAGTGGAAGGTCAGCCACTGCAGCATCCTTTCCCAAAGAGGAAGGTACAGGTCCTCTGTGATACTCCCTACATGTGGGCATCACCTGTCCACTGTGGCTGGTGGGGACAGGCAGTGTGCATCTATCTCCCCACAGGCAGGCTCAAACTGATGGCCGGCGCCTGGCAGCAGGAGTGAGCTCATTGCTACAACCGTCACTTCAAACACTTCCATCAGAATAAACTCTTTGTGAAGTTCCCCCAAAGCTAAGCAGCACGCTCAATCCCTCGTCCCTCTAGCAAAGGATGAAGTCACTTCTCCCAGATCTCAGAGGCCTGCTGCCCAAGGAAATAATGAAAAACACCTTGTCCACAACATGCCATCACTGTCTTGAACTGGCTCTTTTTCTGGGGATCATTTTTTTGTTTCTTTTTACCCTCAAGGGACAAGGTGAACCTCTGCTGCCTGGCAGTGTTGTCAAAGAACAGCTGATGAAAACGAACTAAAACATCTCAAAAGCTAGTGCGTATTACACAAGACTTGTTTATATTCCTGATGCACGTTGATGATAATAACTCAAATAATAGACAAATAGTATCCACAGCACTGATACAATTGAGCATTAACAGTACCCGCTATGAATGAATCGCTTGTGGAGATTCATTTTAGCAAAACCTGAAAAGACAGAAACCTGCCAGACAGGGGGTCTGTAAGTATGATGCAGCAAAGCACATGACAGGAGAATGCTAAGTGGCACCCTTATAGGCAGAAAACGTGTGAAACCTGGAAAACAAGGCAGTCCTCCTTGGGGGTTTCCTGTGGCACAGGGATTGTCACTCCTTTTGTTTTAGAGAAGGAAACGCAAACTCAGAAAAGTGGTTTTTGTTTTTCTTTTTTTTTTTTTATAAGTTAGTAGAGTTCACATACTTTGGGCATGTTGCTAAGAGGGGCTATTCCTTGGAGGGGGACATGATGCTAGGAAGCGTGGAGGGTCAGAGAAGGAGAAGAAGACCCTCGACCAGGAGGATTGACATGGTGACTGCCACATTGGGCTCCAGTGTATCAGGAAATGTGAAGATGGCACAGGATAGGACGGGGTTCAGATCTGCTGTTTAGAGTCACTGTGAGTCGTACTTAGTGGTATTTAACAGCAACAAAAGCAATAGAGCGAATGCCTGCCTATTTCAGTCAATATTTTGTCTTTTTCTTTTTGTTTTTATATCAGAATTGAATTTTTACTA